TTGATGCTCAGAAACAAACATCAAATGTCAGGGTGCAGCCCCTATGACCCACGGGTAGAAGGAGGTTTCCAGAGCATCTTGGCCATTCCTCTGCTTCCAAGCAGCTGACACCTGGCCAGGTTGCCCCTTAGGCTCTCAGAGACTTTCCATAAGCCATCTGATGCGTGGGGGAAGGGATCCAGATGATTCCACAGCACCTGTGCTCCTAGGCATAACCCACCCGAAGAATACCCCAATTCAGAGAAAAAAATGGCCTTTTAAATCACAAAGTGAACAGTTAATGGTGGTGGCACAAGCCTATAATATAATCCCAGCTACTTGAGAGACTGAGGCAGGATGGTAAGTTCAATGCCAGCCTGGGCAACTTAGGGAGACCCTGTCTCAAAATTAAAAAATAAAAAGGACTGAGAGTGTAGCTCAGTGGTAAAACTCCCATGGGTTCAGTCCCCAGTGCCGCCATCATCATCATCATCATCATCATCATCATCATCACAAAGTGACTTCCCTCCATCACATTCCCCCTCCAAGCCTAAGGCTGATTTGCAGATCTCACTCATTTTTCTTTCTGTACCTCCAGCAGCTTGTGATTTCTCTTCCTGCTCTAGCCTCTTACATCACAAGTAGGAGGACAAGAGTCTGGATTGGGAGGAGGCAAGAGCTCCCACTCTCCCTGGGGAGCGGTTTCCTCGTCAGTCTGCAAGTGTAAGGGGTTGGGCTCCAGGGCTTTCTCCGCCGTTGTTTCATCTCAGACACTCTAGGCCTATGACTAATACATCCTTAGACAGAGGATCTAGAGACAGTCTATCTCTCCTGGAAGCAGATGGAGACCTCAGAGCAACTGGGACCCAGAGGCCATAGATACCTGCTGGGGTGCAATGGCATATGAGGCACTTTAGTTGCCAAGAAATCCCAGGCTAAATTGGTGCCTAAGAGCAAACACACCCTCATCTACCAGATTTCTTTCCTTGCCCAAACTCAGCCCAGCAAGCCCAGACTCCCTGATTCCCTGCCTCCCAGTTGGGAAGGCTTCCAGCTGTGGACAGAAGCAAGGTTGCCAGGGGTTCAACTGCCCACTGGAGTGAAGGTGGAGAAGGAGGGGAGGAGCTGAATGTGGGCTGAGCAGAGTGCAGAGACCATTGGCAAAAGTCAGTGGAAAAAAAATCACCCCACAGACAGCTTGGGGGAAGCTCATCTATAAATCCTTCAGCTTCTGGGGCTGATGCAAGATCACTGAGGCTGAAGGTTAAAGGCATCTGTAGATAGGCCTGGGTTCAAGCCTGCCTCTACTCCTCTGCTGTTTGTCTGGGAAAACCGCTGAACCTCCAGAGCTTCAGACCTCAGTTCATCTACAGGATTGTCTATTGAATGGGGATAACAATAAACTCCACTCCTGAGAGATGACGAACATCAAATGAGATAGAACATATAAAGACAGCATTATGCCTCACTAGGAGCTGCAAACACAATAAAAAGCCCTCCCAGGATCCCAAGCAGCACTGGCAAGAATCAGGATAAGGAAGAACCCACAAAGTTAAGAATCAAAAGGAGCTTAGTGACCTTGAATCCAATCCCTTCATTTAACATATGGCAGGAAAGAGGTTGAATAATTTGTCCAAGGTTGCACTTCTAACTGGTAACAGCAAGGTTCAAACTCAAGTCTGACTGAGTCCAAACAGCCACCATCCCTTCACTTTACTCCAACCCATCTAGTCATGGGCAGCCTTTGCTAGGGTCTCTTTCTCACTGAGAGGGCTTTGGTCAGGGAGGTCCCTGGAGTAGGCACCACATTGCCACAGAATGCCACCAAGAAATCTCTTGGTGAGAAAATAATGAATGATGAAGATTCCCTAGAAGTAGGAGTGAGGGGAATAAGGTATCGATTACCAAACATATGGAGGCACTATACAAATAACATGTAAAGCACATGCAAATGACCACAGGTTATTGATGATTCAACAACTCAAACGTTTTTGTTTTTTTTTTGTATTTGTAAATGGAGCTCACACCACATGATGTGAATCTCTCTTCTCCCCTGGCTTTCTGCCAAGTGGAAGAAAATAAGATTTGTGGCTGACTGACCAACCCATGCCCTGCTCCGGAAGAACCCACCGACTCCTGTACCCAGATGATCCAGACATGCCCACCTGTGCCTGGCAGGATTATTTCTTAGTGCCCAAGGCCACATCTACTTTTGACTGACATGTCAGGGCAGGGAGCAGGATGCCTGGGGATCTCTGGTTGAGAGGGGTCTCACAGACCTGGCAGCTTACTGACTCCAGCTGCCCAGAGGGGAACAGAGCACACTGTATGTTCTACACAACACCTGGGCAGTGTCAGGCAAAGATCTAGAGTAGGCCAACACCACTGCCAGGAGCTCTGCTTGCTCTCCATGGGATAGGGCACTCCCAGGCACTGCTGGTGAACAGCAGTGGAAGAGCCACGCTGAGCTGGGGGGGCAGCTGTGGTCAGGCCCTGAGATAGAATGGGGGGCAGACCTAATCCACAGCAAGACAGCTACAGGTTAGATACCTGAGAGGCTTGCTTGAGGCTCACCTGAATGTGTTCTGGAAACAGACAATTCAACCACCATTTATGAAATGTCTGCCAGGGGCTAGACACTGAGCTGGGTGGACATTCTGGACAATTCATAGAAGTAGACAAGACATTGTCACTGCCAGGGTCACTGCCCTAGAGACACCAGTGATTCACCAGGGGAGAAGAAAGAGGTATAGATATAAGGTAACAGTACTTTCACACCTCCTTGGAAGAGTGTGTGTGTGTGTGTGTGTGTGTGTGTGTGTGTGTGTGTGTTGCTGCATAAGAGTACGAGAATTTGGGGTAGGGAGACAGGGCTTTCCTATCCAGTCCCACTTTGAGCCACCTATTCATAATGATAATAAAACTACTAACATAAACCTTCCATTTATGGCTTGCATATAATATGTCAGGCATAGTACTAAGGGTTTGCTTGTTTGGTTTTGCTTTTGTTTTGCAGTGTTGTGATCAAACCCTGGGCCTTGAGCCTGCTGGACAAACATACTACCACTAAGCTACATCCCTAGTCTCGAGTGATTTATATGTATGAGTTCATATTATTCCCATAATGTAGCAGTAGGTACTATTATTAATGTCCCCTCTTGTAGATGAGGAAATTAAAGTTTAAAGAGGTTAAATTAGTGACTTTCTCAAGGTCACAGAGGCAGACATTTATAGCAAGGATTCAAGCCCAGACCTGTGTTAGATTCTATGCATATCCATGTCTCAGCCCTCAGAAGACAGCCCTGCAAGACCCCAAGCTCTAAAGCAATAGCAGCTATCCCCTAAAAGAACACAGCCATCCCCAGGCCCAGCCCCACAGGGCAAACAGGGCACATTCTACAGTCCGTGACATCTGTCACATCAGGACAGGGCCTTTGATCTGCCTTGGCACCCACGCAGCAGACAGAATTGAGGAATGGCCTTTCTACATCTGCAAACATTTCCTAATGCACCACACTTAGTTATAACAGTCGGGCTGCAAGGGTCAGCCCATCTAACTTCCAGCGTCATCTGGACAGGCCCCTCAGAGACTGAACTCATGGGGCCTTGGGGCTGCATTCCTGTCTCCCCTGAGCAGCAGTCTTTACCCCACCTTCCTGGAGAAAACTGGTGATGGTGAGGGAGGTAGAGAGGGCAGAGAGATTGGTATCATGGTGCTGGGCATGGAGGCAGGAGGGCAGGAGGGCAGGATGATTGGATCAAGTCCCCAGCCTGCTTCCCCTTTCCCAGCTCCTGCCCTACCTCCCTTATAGGACCATGGTGAGAACAGGGGAAAAAAAAGTAGCACAAAAAAGAGGCTTGGAAAAGTTAAACGTGTACAATGTGACCAGAGGGAGCACGGTGAGTGCCCAAGCCTGCCCAGGCAAGTTGCCAAGTGAGACCAGAGGCCCCATGTCCCAGATATGAGCGTCTAGGAAGCTACGCTGGGGACAGCAGGTGCCGGAGATGGCCAGAGTTTCCCATTAGAAAAGGAATCTATTGGTTACAAGAATGTAAAGAGGGGGCAAGCACACAAGGGTACCCTAGCAAGGCCAGTTCCTGGCAGTGTGCCCAGGCACTTGCTGGCACTTGGTGGCCCAGGCACTGCCTGGTGACGAGATTATGGTCTGGCAGGCCTGGGTAGGGAGACCCAATGTAGATTGGACGCCCACACTGAGGACTGCTACCATCAGGCTCCCCACTCTGCAGCCTGGAAGCAGCACAAGGGCCTCTGCTGTAACCAACAGAGAGAGAGAGAGAGAGAGAGAGAGAGAGAGAGAGAGAGAGAGAGTTTTGCAGCAGAACAGGAGGAACATTAGGAGCAGGCGCTGGCATTTTCCCCTCCTCCTGCCCGCAATAGAGATCCCATTAGTGGGAGTTGGACAGAGGTAATCAGACTGCTGGGTTCAGCAGGACAGCCCCAGAGGGTGGAGCCGGCTGGCACAGAGACACCTGGAGAATGTGAAAGCTGAAGAATGCCTTCAGGGAGACAGCCTGGGTCTGGTTGGAGAAGCAGCAACACAGCTGGCCCTAGTGTGCCCCCCTCACACATCCTCACCCCCACCTTAGCTTTGAGCTTTCCTCTTCTTTTTCCCCAGGACTGGTGTAATTCAACTAGTACCCCCACCCCCAGCACTCACTGCTGCCCTGTCTTGGTGTACCCTCCAAATCCTCCACCTCCATTTCAAGTCTGACAGGCAGCCTTGGGTTCCCTGGCTGCAGCATCTTCCATACTGGGATCCTGGGCACTACCAGGTTAACAATTCTCCAGCCATCCAACCCCTTCGTGCTTCTCCAACCACAGCTCAGCCTAACACCACGGCACAGAACACAGAAAGGCAGAGTGAGAGCTGGGGTGCAATGACCCAGAGAATACCTGCCTTGCTTGGGATCTTATGTTCTACCTTTCATCCTCTCTAGATGGCCCTCAAGCCAGGCAGATGGGGTGCTGCTGCCAGTACCTTTCACTGCTGTGAACTCACCGGAGAGGGATCTTGACACGGAGGTAACGGTCCACAGCAATTGCCAGCAGAGCCAGAATGGAACTCTGGGTGAGGATGAGGACAGGACAGGCCACCATGAGGCAGGTGTGGAAGTAAGTCTGTGGCCCAATGTTGATGAGGATGGCCAGTGGGATAACCAAGGCACCCACTGCCACATCAGCCACCGCCAGAGACACGATGAAGCAGAAGGTGGCATCCCGCAACGCCTGGTTCACCTTCACTGCCCAGATCACCAGCACATTCCCGGGCACGGAGACAAGAGCGATGAGCACCTCGATTCCGATGTAGGCGGCCTGGAAGGCCGAGATGGAGTGCGGCATGGCCGGCACAGGCTGGGCACATCAGCAGACAGGCACCACGGGGCACGAGGCAGGCACCTGTAATCAGGAAGCCTGGGGTGGGGAGGCCCGCCTAGAGGAGGAGGGGAGCCAGGCAGCCCCGCAACTCCCACTGCCCCGCAGAGATGCGCCCTACTTGGCACATCCAGTGCCTGTCCGGGCTGGCCAATGTACCCAGGCCCTTTTATGCCTAGCCTTTGTCCCCTCCCTTTATCATCCCCAGAGGTTCTATTCAGCAACTTAAAATAGCAGCGCTCTCTCTGCCACTGGCTTTTGTATCAGGTGTGAGAGCTCCCAGCACACGCACTCCGCCCGGGTCCCCCTGCCCGCTCTGCCCACCCCTGTCCACAGAACAGGATGCGGGGAGCTCACCATCCTGCCTGCTGGCCAGCAGGGGGTCCCAGAGGTGGTGCCCAAAGTTCCCGGCACGCCGTGCCGCCTAGAGTTCCGGGGCCGCGCCAGGCAGGGCTGGGCTCTGGGCACCGCGCGGCAGCTCATCGTCCTCCGGCTCCCGCCGCAGCGCTCCCAGCCCGGCCTTTCAAGCAATCACATGGTGCGGCAGAGGCTGGCCCCGGGCGCTTTTAAAGAGGTAGTGCCCCTGTTTCGCACCTGGGACTGGGGTGGCAGGCGTGGGGCTGAGGGACTGAGGCCAGGACCGTGCCCGAGCGCGGGCTCCCGACTTCCTAGCGCGCACGCACATCTGCCTGCGGCCACCCACCTGAGATATTGCCAGTGCCCGTTCTTAGCATTCTCCTGGTCCTGCTCCAGCTCTGCCGGGAACCCGTGCCCACCGCCTGCCCCAAGGGGGCATTCCAGGCGCTTCATTCAGCCCTCTCCTAGACCCTCACTTGGAAGCCTCAGGGACGAACTGAAGCACAGACTTACCCAAGGTCACACCAGAGCTGACAGAGCTCCCGCCCACCTGAACTCTGCTGTCCAAGTGTCCCCACACCTCTACGCCTTCAGCAGCCACTCGCTCCAGGAATGCCCGGAGAATCCAGGGCTGGCCTGTTAGGTCCAGGGGGATGGGAGCGAGGGGGGACTCGATTGGGGCGCCGGCGCCTCCTTCGCCCCCGGCGCGGGAGCTGAGTGACAATCGGGCTCCGCACACCGGAGGGGGCGGGGGCGGCGGCGGCACCCGCGGGCCCCTCCCTCCGTCTCCTCCCCCACCCCCTCCTCTAAACAAAGAATGTGATTCTATGTGAGAAAAGCTGGGAAAACCTGAGTTTTTCGAAGGGTCTGATATGGGAACGCAGTCTCGGGACCGGACCGAAAGACCACTCGCTTCTTTCTCAATGCGACACGCTGGGAGCCCTAGTCCTGTCTCCAGAGACCCCTCCATCCCTCCCAGCGCAACATCTCACCTGCAGGGCTCCAGAATGCCCCTCCACCCCAACCCCCCGCCCGGCCATGGGTTGGCAGCCCTGGCACTCTCCCCTAATCCTCAAACTGCTCTCCCAGTTAAACCAGTCTCTGCTTATTCTTAGGAACTCACATCCTCCTGCACACATTACTCCGCAGACTCTGTACTGAGTCACTAAATTCCTTTCTCATCCATCTTTCAGAGCCTATTAGCAATTACCATTTTGCAGATGAGGATGCTGAGGCTCAGGAAAGTGACCTGGCTTTCCAAGAGCATCCCTGCCCGGGTCACCCACTCCATGCTGCGTTTCTTTCCTCCTCTTCCCTCTTCAGAGCACAACACCTAAGCCATAAGATATCTAGTGCAGTCCCCTGGTATTTACAGATAAAGAAGCAGGCTCAGGAATGGAGGGGACTTCCAAAAGGTCACAAGACAAATCCTAAGATGACCAGCGTAAAAAAAACTCAGGATCCTGGTTCCCCACTCTGCTCTCTCCACTGTCCCTGCCACCTCCTCCCAGTTTAGGTAGCCCATTGGTGCTGTCTAATACCTACCCAGGCAAACCCTCGCTCATCATGGTGCCCTGCAGAGATTTAAAACTCCAAAATCCTTGTTTGTGCACATTGGTAAGGGACCCTAAGAGGGTGGGAGTACAGCTGGAGGTCCCCAGTGCCACACTGCCCCAATGTGGGACCTCAGGATGCCAAGAGAGGCATTCTGACCAGATGAGGGTGAGCCAGCTGTTTCTGCTGGGGGTTGTGGTGGATCGCAGTGAGGACCTGGGTGGGCTGAGACCTGGGCCTCTGGGAGGAGGGAGCAAACATAATTGAATCTTCCTTGGAGGCAGAAGAAGCCCAATGTGGAAAAGACAACTTTCACTTCAGCCTTCAGGGGGAGCAAGGAATCTGTGCCTCAGATAACAAAACTGCAGTATTCCCCAGAGTCTGGCTGGAGAAGGCTCCCCTCCAGATTCCCTCACACTGCTAACCCAGGCCAGCCCACCCCCACCACTACCCAGAAGCACAGGCTTCTGCACCCACCCGCGCCTCTCAAACCTTCCCTTGACTCAAGTCCTCTGTGACTCAAGGCTTGCTCCTAAGTTTTCACTTAGTTTCCGAAAGGTCACTCATCTAGCTTTCAGAAAGACCCAGGAGGGCCCAGCTTGGGTCACGGGTGGGTGATAGGGGTCACTCTTCTTAACTCTCAGCAGCATCTTCAGCTCTGAAGGGGACCCGAGCCCCGTGGACACACATACACACACCCACCCCCAGTTCTCACCCTGGATTGTCAATGTGTAGTAGAAGTATTTGCGTCATACCTGTAGGTGATTCGTCTGTTCCCTACTTCTGGGAAAATAAGCCCCAAACTGCCTCTCTTCCCTCCCTGCCTCCTCCCCCGCAGTGTTTCCAGGCCAGGCCTTCTGTAGGGTCAGACCAGCCTGTTTGAGAACAGAGCTGACAAGACAGGGACCCTCTCAGAGGGCAGCTATGGGAAGAGCACGTTGTCTCCCCAGAGCCTGTAGCTGGAAGTGGGTGGGTCAGAGCTGAGCACAGCTTTCTCCATTTGGTGTAGTGGAAAGAGCACTCACTTGACTGCGAGTTGCAGGGCTGAAAGCTGGCTTCTAGGCCCTGCTTTGCCACTCACTGTGTGGCCTCTGGAGTCATTTTCCCTCTCCGGGTCTGTTTACTCACCATTCCAGCAACGTCTCTCATCCTTTCCTGCCCCAGTGGCTGGAAAATCCATTCCAAGCTGGGAGGGCCAGGCTATGATGGAGACTGGGTCTTTCCCCCTGGAAACCTCCCAAATCCTGGTTCTTTATGGGGCAGACATCAGGGCTGCAGAGGAGGTTTGTGGGGGAAGAAAAGGAGGGGAAGAGAGGAGGTGAGAGTCTGCCATGGGCAGAGGACACTGTGGGAAGGGAGAGGTGGGACGGTGGAGCCAAAGTGACTGGCACTGATGCCGAGCCCCAAACTCTCTGTCCCAGGACCCTCCAACTAGATGACCATCCCCACACCAGGGTCCACTTGTGCCCACAGCCGTGTGACCCTCCATGCTTTACCCTGCCTCCTGCAGCCGAGTCTTGGTTTCCTCCTCTGTACAATCAGTGCCGCCTCACAGGAGGGCTGTGAGACTTAACCCATGGGCTTGGTGGGGAGGGTATGTGGCACAGACATTTAATCTAAAAGGCAGGTAGACACCAGGACTACTAGAGGGGGCAGGGGGGAAAGGGAAAGCCAGTGAAAAATTCAGAATTATGAAATCTGCTCGGTACAGTCAGTGGCACTAAAGTTGAGGGCGGATCTCAAAGGTGCCAGGTTTAAGTGCCCTGAAGGACTCCTAATGAAAAGCTTTTATTATGCATATGACTCTGGAGGCAAGAGAACAACACAGAAAGCATAGCCCACCCCCTTTACCTCTGGGTCCTATTTCTTTCCTTCCAAAGGCCCATCCTGGCTTTCTCAGGCTCCTCACACCAGCAGCCTCACCACCTGGTGTGTGGGGAAGACACTTGGGGTGGGGGGCAACCCTGCTGAGCAGCCCTGTACTGCCTGCTTCCTGGTGCTCCCCACATGGGACTAGACAGCCCGAGTCAGGAAGGACCTCTCCGGGAGCCTGAAGTCATCCCTGCACACCCCAGGACTCCAGCAAGGGGGCTTAGCTGAGCTCCTGAGGGGACTCCCAGCAAATGGAAGAGATTTGAAGAATTTCCTCTGGGGCTGGGGATATGGCTCCGTGGGAGAGCACTTGCCTAGCGCGCATGTTGCCTTGGGCTCCATCCCCAGCACCCGAAGAAAAAGAAATTCTCCATCTCTTTCCAGAAGCAGGCAGGAAACATTTTAGACTCCATCTCACTTCTCAGCCTTTTTCTGGGCAGTGCAGGAGGAGAACTGTTAGGCAAGAGCAGGCATTTAGGACAAAAAGATTCTGGAGGACGATGGCGTGGTGGCACATGCCACCTGTAATCCCAGCAGGGGGCTGAGGCAGGAGGATCTCCAGTTCAAAGCCAGCCTCAGCAAAAGCGAGGTGCTAAGCAACTCAGTGAGACCCTGTCTCTAAATAAAATACAAAGTAGGGCTGGGGATGTGGTTGAGTGCCCCTGAGTTCAATTCCCTATAACCTCCTCCAAAAAAAGATTCTGGATGGCAAGGAAGCCTGGGGCCCTTCCTCCAAAGGGCTGTCACCTGTCTGTCCCTGCCTTGACTTCCTCAGCTCCCCCACCACCCTTGGCACTCTTTTCCCACTCCGCCTCCCCCAGACTTGCTGTGTAGGTTTCTGGGCCTCGTCCCCTTTCTTCCCTCCCTCCAGTTGCCTTCTCCCAGGTCGGGGCTCTTACAGGGACATCCTGAGTCTGTGGGAAGGAACAGAATGCAGAATGTCAGCACAGGTTAAGTGTTCCTATATTTGTGTGTTTGTGGGGGGTGGGGTGGGAGGAGGACATGGGATATGGGAGCCATTTAGTCCAGGTCCCTCCAGACAGCACAACTCTTCCTAAATCCTCAAACAAGGGTGTTCCTTTCATTTCTTTTTCATCATAATTGGCCCCAGAACCATTTATTTGTGCATTGATTAATTCATTCTATTCAGCAATAAATATTGCTGACTTGGTTATTAAGCCACTTTTGTATACCACAGTGGGCTGAGCACTGGGCATATAGAGAAAACAAAGCCACACTATATTTCACTACATAATCGTTGCAGGTTTTATGCTTTTTTTGTGTGTGTGCAAAAAAAAGGTAGGATGTAACCATTATCTGAAGCTTTTTTCAAAACAAAATGGTGCCTGTATTACTTAAAAATTATTTATTACTAAACTGTCTTTGGCACAAAACTAAGATGCACAGAATACTCATGGATAGACATCAAAACTGAATAGTCCTTATCAATGCACATTATTTTTTCATGACAGCTTAGCAAACATTTCTCTGGTTTAAAAAAAATAACACATTAGTTGTCATCCATTTCTGCATTATAGTCAAAATATTACACTTGAGAAAATTCACTACAGTGTTGAGAAATATGGACTTAGAAAATATAATCTTCCCAGCCCAAAGATTCTGCACCGGTTTCATTATCTGATGTGCTGTCCTCAACGCCACTCACTTAAGGTGTGTTTACCCTTGGGACTGCAGTACCCTGAACAGACTACCTAAGGTGGCTTTGGGAAGAACACTGACAATGCTCTAGCTCTGAGAATTCTTGGCTCTCAGTGTCAGAGGAGGCAAATGGACCTCCCTGTGCCGCTGGTGAATACATTGTTGCTCTCTTTATCATTTAAGGTA